CAAACGTTCTTCTGCAAAGGCAAAACCAAACTTAAACTTGCTGATTTCCGACCATTTCTAAGATGCGCGTGCGCTTGAGATCTTTGGAGCGGTGAGACGCAGGGTCACAAGGGTGGCGCACATCCTGCGTAGAACACAAGTCCGCAGGTTAAGCAGGAAAATTATAAATACGCTGCGGCTTGCCCCACGAGGACCACCTTGAACAACGCTATCCCCATGACAACGAGTTGGTACACATAAGAAAAGCGTCGCATGCGCGCACGATCAGTTTTGCATCCCTGCAAGCATGCACAACAAAACACGCACCAAAGCACGCAATTCGTTCCTTCCAGACCGGTCTCTCTTAAGTGCGACGACTCACGAGCTGTATAATCATGGCACGCAAGCGCGCCTTTCATGCACTGCTACTGAACCATTGCGGTTCACACGCCGGACCACAAGTACGCCTAATGGCCAGTTATTTTCAAGGTGACGAGGTCGTCATTGGCTACATTTAGGCCGTGAGGACCCTTCGTTGCAAACCCTGCAATTCCTCTATACAGGATGAATGCAATCACCTCTATTGGTGCTAGGGACTTACTCTCTGGATCAATAAGATTGCCAACGGGGTAACCCTGTACTTCATCCAAGTCAATACCTGGTGCCAGGTGGGGGCTGAGCTCATGTTCACACGCGTAGCATCGTATGATACACAGGGAAACCAAGGAGCATTTCCACCAAGGAATTCAGGCACACCTCTTCGAACTTCACCTGAGTCACAGCCAACGCGCACTCAAAATCGTCTTGAACTGAAGCCCACTTCCTGAGTCGGCGATTCCGCAACGCTATTTTATGCGGATCGCAAATGGCTCTTGCACCGGAAAACTAACGATTCCCCTTTCTACGCTTCGCATCACCCGTTCCTTCAGTCTCCAATACCTGCAGCAATCCATTCTGCTATCCGACGGTGATACATTCCTCGTCCTCAAACGACCTCCTAACGAGAGTACGACGCTTACCCTTAACCCTAAACCCCTAAGCCCTAAACCCCATCGATGAAATTCCTTTGAACTGTAATAGGCACTCACAAGCTGCGTGTGCTCCCTCGCCAACAGCAACTGCCCTGTCTGAGCCTCAACAGAATCACTATCAATGTGGCTGGCCGAACGGCTCGCCAAGCTTTTTTGCAAGGCCGTTCTTCTTTCGCACCATATACCATTCCAAGAAAACTGGCTTCGCGATCAGAGGAAGAACATGGATATCCCCCAGGTGCACTGGTTTAGACTCTGCTTTGACGCCACATCAGAGGACGGGATGCGCTTGTGCGCTTCTGGGGGCTCGTTGTACATGGCGCACAGAACAAGCCTCACTTCGTGCTCCAAAAGTTTCATTTGAATTCTTGGCCATGCCTACGCGCCACTACCTGCATAAGTGCATCCAAGAAAAACAACAACAAACCTGCGAGTGCCTGCCTGTAGGCCCACCACCCATTCTGCCTCACTCTGCGTGCGCCGCCCAAGGCGTTCCGCAGTCTTACAAGCGCCTTGCAATTTCATTCATCTCAGGTGGTTTATTAGCTTGCATTGGTCAGGCGCGCATAGTTCCTTCTTCATAGGAAGGCAAAACAGTATGCCTTCTTCTTGCAGTGCGTAAAGCGCAGCCTTGGAAACTCACGTCCTGAGCCAGATGTTTGGCGAGCTAAGCAATCGCTACTTGTCCTTGCCATCATACGACCTCATTACAGCCACAGTCGAGTGAATATTCACCATCTGGAGCAAAGCACAGCCAGCAATCAGTGCACGCAAAAGCTTGAAGGCTACCCAGACCAGCAGCACAAAGCCATTTCCAGCATCGCCAGCGAAGACACCAAATAGATAGTGCACTTTCATCCCTACATCCAACTCGCAAGACAAACAGCAAAAAAAACAAATGGAGCCTAGTGTCTAGGCATCGTTCGGTGAACCACAAGTTCTAGTGCAGGTGTTTCTGTACATGCGCCAACACACTGCCTGTTCTCGACAGCGCCTGAACTCTCTCAAGCAGCTAGCTTGGTCTGAAGAGCAGATGGCGCTGGCCGGGTGAACTCCAGCGTACTCCAGTGCACTGCTTGCAAGCGGCTAGGTGTCACACAAGTTGTCATTGGAGCTCGTCAGGTCGCCGCCTAAAACCAGCATACTCTCTAAGTACAGCGAGACAACTTAGACAACCGCGGCATATCAGAATTCTGCAGCGCATCCACATGCCAAGGTGCTTCTTCAAAACAGCCATATAAAATAACCGAGTAGATCTGAATAGGTCTGGCTATCCATAAGGGGAGCCCACCGGCATTCTTAAGTGCCCCAACTGAAGGCATCGCACTAATCCTGAAATCCAACTTCTTCATAAGTAATTGGGTCAAGGAACTGACTAGCTGCAGAGAGGACAACGGATCATCGCATCCATCTTACAATCACTATGCTTCAGTGTTTTTGCCGTTGCACTCGCAGTCAAGTGCACGACAACGCGATCTACTACACAGTAGCAACAGCTGAGCTGCATACGCTGTGCAGGCGGTGGTTATGCGTTGTTCGCCGTCCACTCTGGTTTTCACGCGTTCTTCGCCACCCTGCAACGCCAGGCCGCAACCCAAAAATAACACCGATCCCATACAAGAGGGACAAAGGAATTCTAAGAATAGCTATCCCGCATGGCCCCTTTTTCATCTGCATCATGAAGCGCCTTCAATAAAAAGACTCAATCGATTTACACATCCAAACGAACATTGCACGAACTGAGCGGTCGCACGCGTCCGCCTACAGCAACGTCCCGCGCCTCCTCAAAAGTCACCCTTGTCTCGACAATGCGCTCGTTGCTTAGCAGACTAGCAATCTACTTGTTCTCTCTGAATTTACTCAGTAAGGGGTGT